TGATGAAGTCTCAAAAATGCGGGATAGAGCATCTGGCTTAGCATTCTTCGAACCAGGGCGATAAGACTGTCACAGACCTTCCAGCCCCTCCCTGAGAGGCTGGCCTCCCCCCCCCCCCCTTTCTGTTGCAGGATGTGAACAGGTGTGCTGGAGGAACTCCACGCTGAGTTCACTCTCATCAGCAGGAAGGATTCAAAAGCCACTGCAGTGAGCTCAGCTGTGCCAGATCGTAAAACTCTGCCAGTCAGTGTCACGTTTCTAGCGTTCTTTTTGACTAGCTCGAATATAACATTCAAACCAGGTTTTTTTTGCCTTATTTTGCAGTTCTCCAGCCACCTGCTTTTCCAGCTCCGTCCTGCCTGCCCCTGCTCCGTCCGTCCCGGTTTTGCTCTGCCCTACCCTGGTTTTGCTCTGCCCTACCCTGGATCTGCTCAGTCCTGCCCTGTCCTGCCCTGGCTCCGCTCCGCCCTGCACTGGCTCTACCCCATCTGACTCAAACTGGCTTAAATAAAATTCCATCTGAACCTCTTCAGAGTCTGCTCCTGGTTCTTTGCCTTGATCCGTTACAAAGACAAGGTGAAATCAAATCTCTTAAGCAATAGGGCCCACCTTGCCTGTCTGGAATGCAGTCTTTTGGCTGTACGAAGATACTCCAGATTTTGTGATCGGTCCAGACAAGGAATGGGTGCTCGCCCGCTGCAACCAGTGCCTCCATTCCTCCAACGCCACTTTGAACGCCAATAGTTCCCGATTTCCAACGTCATAATTCCTCTCTGCAGAGACAATTTGCGAGACAAAAAAGAACATGGGTGGAGCCTACCGACCCTAGGACTACGTGGGATAGGACGGCACCAACATCAACATCAGATGCATCGACCTCCATGATAAATTGTAAATCCAGCTGTGGCAAAACTAAAACAGGAGCACTGACGCTTGGGGCGTCCACGAAAACGTGATGTGGATCAGTAAAACAGAAAAAAGAATGGATATAATAAACTTCCTGCAGGATTTCTTACAAAGTCTTGACGAGGTTAGTGGGACCATGCCATGCCACTACTCAGAGATGGGTTTAATAAATACAGTTGAAATTAGGTGTACCTTCTGCACAAATTATAACCATTTAACGACACATTGACAAATAGTCTTTCTCAGAGGTGGAAGATGAGGACGTCAACCAACTGCTGAGGTCATGAAGCCGTGTCAGTGACAGGTCTTTTCAGTGGATTTAGGGGTCAGCCAATGTGCCACTAATAGAGAGTGAAAGAGAGGCATTTGAAATATCTGAGACTTTTGAGCAGGCCAGGAGACAGAGGGAAGTAGAGAGGGGAAGGACAAAAGAGAAGGCTGAGGGAGAAACGGGAAAAAGAGGAACAACAGTGGGTATAAAGGTGTTCACCAAATATATACGAAAACATAATGCAAACCAAGGTCAAAGTATCTCAGTATTCGAGTACAGTGACTGACTGGGAAAGTTTTATGTAAGATATCTTGGTGTATTTGGTTCTGCATGTTGAATTGTATCTTGTTTTTTGTTTTGGTACAAAGTTAATGTTACTGTTGTGGAATTTCTGGATAAAGTGAGAGCATAAACAATTGAAAATACAATCAAGTGTGGTTTGTTCACTCTGGCTAAGCTCTCCCCAAAACATCAGTATCCCCAGCAGTAAAAAATTAGCCAAAACAAAACCGATCTGCTACTGGCTCTACTCAGATTCAGATTCAGATTCATTTATTTGCCATTTGCAGTAAAACCACATTGGAAAAAACTTGTGCAAGACTACCCCGGTGTGCGCCAGACAGAGACGACACACACCAGAAGCTTTGCCACGGCGCCATCTTTCCAGCGCCATGCGACAAACGTGCCTAAACACGCAGAGATCGAATAACATACTGGTTACAACAGACAGTTGGATAGAAAACATTGAGCTTTGTATAAACCCCGGTTTTTTTTTTCGGGTATGAGCACATTTGGCCGCCGGCCCAATGTGGCTTAGATCGGGGGGTGGCGGGGTACCGGGAGGGGGAGTGTGCGGGCCACCCCGAGCTGAGGGGGGGGAGGGGCGGGAGCGATCGCGGGAGGCGAGGGGGGGCGGGGATCCACGTGGGAATGACTGAAATAGAGTGAAAATGATGTAGAGTCAGATTTAAATATGTGGCATTGGCCCGAGGAATTGAGATCAAGAGTGGAGGGGCCGACCAGCAAGGAGGAAAACATTTCTGTACGCCCCCCCCCCCCCCCCCCCAGGACAATATTTTATGCATATTAGCAGTCAAAAAAACAGGCAGCTCTTTTATTAAATCAATTACCGTATTGCGAGACGCCTAGACCCGTCCAGGGGCCAATCCAGCCGGGTCAGAGCGTTCAAGCGTGACAAACAATGTATTACTCTCAATACCAGAGTATTATGCCATCAAGTGACGAGGCTGCGAGATTCAGATCAAATGTTCACAAACCCACTTTCTTAGTCCAGCCAAGCGACTTCAACACCGCTGTTTAGTCTTGTACATCCATCAATTTTGTTGG